CTGGGATCTAAAAAAGAAAAGCACACAGTTTAATGTAGTTTGAATAACAGACTGCAGGCCTGATTTCTGGTCCTTTGTTTTCTCCTGCCAGTGTTTGTGTTTTTGGTTTAAGTTTCACTCTTTGAATTGTGGTTTTCTGTTGTATTATATTTACTGTTCCTGGTTTCTCTTCTGGTTCCACACCTCATCTTGCCTCGCCTCATGTTTCTATGTCTCATTGTCTTGTCTGTGTCATCATGAACGTCTCTTGCTTCCTGTTTTATTGTGATAGTCCCTTGTCATGTGTTCAGTGTATTGAGTTTTGTTTCCCTGTGTCTCGTTATGTCAGATTCGTCCCAGCTGTGTTCCCACCAGTTCCCCATCCTCTTGTTGTCCTACTTGTGTATTTAAGCCCTGCATCTTCCTTGTTCATTGCTGGTTTGGTTGTCAATCTTCCCCTGTGTGTCATCCTCCATGTTGCCTCTGCGTTTCTTCCTCGATGTTTCATATCTCAGGCTCCTCGTTCCCAGTTTCAGGTTTTTGTTACGTTTCTTTTGTTCCTCGTGTTCTTTTGTTAGTTTCTCCGTGTTCAGGTTTTGTAAGTTTATTCCTGCCATACTCTGCTTTTGTTTGCATTGAGTCTCACTGTAAATAAAAAATCACACCCAACTACTCTGTCGTCTGCATCTGCACTCGGGTCCTTCTGTCGTCACTCCATACGTCTGCCTCTGTAGCTGTGACACTCCCTTTTCCACAGGCAAGCATCAGCAATGCTTTTTATTGTGAAGTCAGTGCCCAAAAAAAATGTTGTCCTTGTTGTCCACTTTAATGACCAGGGCACTGCAGCAAACGTTTTAGGGAACATTTTATAGAGATAAAATCATTTGCAAGTGTGCAGATTTTAGCCACTTTGGTTTATTCTTTCATGACTGTATAATTTTTATTATGAAAGCTGATAATGGGGTTTTTAACAGAAGACATTGAGAGTTTTATAGTAAGGACACGGGTAACAATCCGTGCATTAATGATGTACATTTAGTTGTTAATATATGCTGGTCAGCCAGCCATCAAAAAAGTGTAAGTTGAAAGTGTCCTAAATAAACGAATGCAGGCATTTATTAATATAGCTAATTTCACATGTGCTTTTATTCTAAGGAAACCCATTTTTCCTTGGTACTATGCCTCGATATTTATATGTGGGTTTACTTTCTGCACTGCATGGTTAAGATAGCATTACATCCTGGAAATATTCTACATGTGCAAAAAATTTGCCATTTTACTGAGGCAAAGTTATTCTGTTATCATACATTAAATATGCTTTTAACTTAACTGATTCTTGCCCAGGTTAAAAATGTTGTTTGAAGGCATCAGATCAAGATTCAGTTATGAACATTTTTCCTTATTTTATTTTTCAGTTTCCCAGGGAAAAGGAGGGGGCAAAACAATCACTCATAAATGTTAATGTTTCACTACTAAATACAAATAGCAGCTTTACTTGGTCAACATTCAATTTTACTTCTGGTTGAGTTTTCAGCAGCCGTTAATAGTATTAATGCTACAGACTAGACAGCTGAGTTGGCATTACTGGTACTGCTCTTAAATGGTTTTCTTCATACTTATCCAACAGATAATAGCCAGATGCAACAATCTGATGGAAAGCCTTGAACCAGAGGTGGAGGCTTTTCCAGCAGCAGATCAGTGCCCATGGTTTGATTTGGCATTGCAAAGTTAATGTTCACATACTTTTTTCACAAGTTTATAAACTTTAGTCAACACAGACTATGTTAAGGTAAATACTAAAAAATGTTAGTAGAAGTTTAATAATTAAATATTGCCAGTATATAGGATCATTGATCTAGTATTAAAGTTAATACCTGTCTTTGATGGTGTCGCTGGTTTGGATTTGAGAGAAGAAACATCTGACTC